ATTATGTAAGGTCGACACATTAGTGTGATGGAACTTGTACCTCTCCTGAGAATCAAACTTTTCTTTCCTTAGTATCCCAAGATTGTTCTAGAATGGGCTGACATCCTAGTCTCTCTTGCAACTGGATTCCATGGGAATGTTGCATGGGCGACTAGGATGTTGCCCATTCTAGAACAATCCCACAGTTTTCCTGAATGTCTTAATTTGACTTTGCACAAAATTCAGGCCCCAAATAAGAAATATCCTGCCAAATATTGAAAGTAATGGCAAAACTGCAAGTACTTTTCCACCATCCTAATACATTTCAATCTCAAGAATTTTGGCTGTAAGTGTTGACTACATATTTCTCCCTCCAATGGAAGTTTCTTGGACTCACCCTTTAGCTCCTATATTTCTATCTCCTGCAGTAACATAAAATTCCAAAGTGAAGGATCCCAGAAATAGCTCTGATTGGTTGTCCATCAATAATTCTTCAACTCACATTCACAACTCTGTGCCATATTTTCCACCAATGCAGTTATTTCTTTTGGACACAGTACTTCCACAAAATCTCTGGTTAGAATGCAACATGTATCTTGGAATAAGAAATGCCTAAGGTCTGAGCGCAGAGAAGAAGCTCATCACACTGACATGGAGACCACGAGTCATAGAAGAAATCTTTGGTGGAAGATTGCCACAGATCAGGGATTTGGGCAGTTGGAATATAGGTGTCTGGGCTGGGGCTTACCCAAAGTGAAATGGAAGAACTGGTGAAGCTTGTCTTCACATGTTCACTATTCCACTTCTTGTTTCCTAGACTTTTTTCTCCTGGCTTTCCCCCATACCTCCACAAACCCCTATCATGTGAGCTGCACCTGGCAAAATCATAGAGGTGGAATTGCCTGAGGCCTTGAGGGCCCAATCCTAGCCCAGTGTGTCCAGGAGGTGGCACATGGAGTCAAAAGAGATTATTCTCCAGCTCTAAAATTTAATGTCTACCTGCCTTGCTGAGTTTTTATCTTACTTGAAGCCTGTTACTTTTGTTGGGAGAGGGAGCGTGGAAGGGTGCTCTTTCTCACTTTTAGAATGGGACTGTCTGTCTTACGCCTGTATCACCATTGTATCTTAGAAGGTGTCACCTTATTTTGATTTTACAGGTTCACAGATGAGACTCTGGATTTTGGACCACTGAGTTGATACTGAAACCAGTTAAGACTTTGGAATTAGAGAGTTGGAATGGATGTATTTCTGTGTGATAAGGACATGAGTTTTTGCAGGGCAGTGACAGAATGTTCCTGATATTCCAGTCTTGAGGCACAATATCTTCAAATAAGCTGATTGCAGATATTAATCACATCTAAAAAATAACATCAGAGCAACACACAGATTAGAGTTTGATTTAATAACTAGGTACAATGGCATATGTCAAGTTGACATTTTAAAAACACAGTTTAATACAACTCTTCTATAGCATACTGGGAATATATTAACTCTTCCCCAGAGTGGAGATCCTTGGGTGATGTTCACTCTTAACCCTGATATTCTGTAACATAAATACTGTGAAGTAATATATTAGATTTTAAGGTGATAGAGTGAGAAGAACACAATAGTATTCTACACACTCACATATTCATAACAAAATAAAAGGTGAATACTCATAACATTTACAATCCTTTTGCAACTGGTTATACAGCGATAGCTAGCATTTGTATATCATATGGACTTTGCCCTTGACAAGTACTGCAATTGATTTTTTCCTGACTGGGAAGGGGTTCCAAATATTCATTTTTGAAGAGTTGGAGTTATTAGTTTTCCTTCCTGAATTGGGTTATTGTAGATTTTTTCTTGACTTTAATAAAAAGGCATGGGCATACTTAGTGATGTGCTAACAGAGTTCCTATATCCCAGGCTTGCTCTTCTTTTTAATGACCTATAACAGTAAACCAAAGAAATGATTGCAGTTGTGACAAGTGCTACAAAGAAAATGAAAACATAGTATTTGCTTCTTTTTTTTTTTTTTCCAACTTTTATTTTACGTTCGGGGGTATATGTGCAGGTTTGTTACACATGTAAATGTGTGCCATGGTGGTTTGCTGCACAGATCCTCCCATCACCTAGATATTGAGCCCAGCAACTATTAGTTATTCTTCCTGATCCCCTCCCTCCTCTCCCCACATCCTCTGACAGGCCCCAGTGTGTGTTGCTCCCCTCCGTGTGTTCATGTGGTCTCATTATTTAGCTCCTATTTATAAGAGAACATGCAGTATTTGGTTTTCTGTTCCTGCATTAGTTTGCTGAGGATGGCTTCCAGCTCCATCCATGTCCCTGCAAAGGACATGATTTTGTTCCTTTCCAGACTTACTCTTTACATCAGTGTATAGTAGCAACCCAATTTCCCTTGGTAATCAGGTCTTGCATGATAAATCCAGTCCAACATTTTAATCTCTCTACACCTTTACATACCTTCCTCTTCAGTGTCCCAAGGCAATTCTGGTATTTCAGCTTCATTTAGTGCAGGCTACCCTTCGTTTCATTTTTAACTCAACCAGACAAACACAGAACTGTATATAACCTATTGAGCTGCAACTCTATATTGAGAATTTGTGCTTTGTGGGCCTGTATCAATGAATTCATGTCGAGTGAACTTTATGTTCCTTCAACCATTATTTCACACTATTAACTTACATTCTCACATGTATTCACCAGATTTCTGTCTGTATAAATTGAAAAAATATGCACTACTTTTGGTATGTAGTATGTCTCCCATTGGTTCACAATTTTAATTTCTCTTTCAAGCCTGTTGGGACTAAAGATAGAGTTCTACAAGTCAAGAGGTTTGGTGGAAGTAGATTCTGAGGATAATCAGCAGTGTCTTCCAATTAAAATACCTCAGAGGTGCTAGTATACTTTCCTTTGAAAAATCAGGATGAACCTTCTCAGACATGAATAGCAGGGTTGCTCCTACTGGCAAAGAAGATGTAGGAGAATTTAGAGGTTAAGTATCCTCAGCTTCATCAGGATCTACCCTACATGTTTCATTCCAATTTTCAGAATCTCATTCCTTCCCATTCAATTCCCTCAGTTTAGCAGAAGATACTTTGCCTGATTGGGAATTCAATTTGCACTGTAATTCTGCCACTCTCAGGATGAAACTCTAGATTTGATTTTCTGAAACCTCAGGCTGATGACAATGGGAGATAAACACATTCCTCTGGGAAGACATAGAAGGTTTCAGATCATTTATGTGGAACTTGAACTTGGAATTTCAAGCCCTGAGTTCATCCTTTTTCTTTACTTCATCTACCATAGTTAGGAGCAGTCATCCTCATTAAATTTATTAGTTTGACTAAAATATTTTAAGGTATCACAGTTACCCAGAGATTTGCCTTTTATGAATATTTGATTAAGAATCCAGTAGTAATATTTTACAAATCTTTTTACCACATTGCACCATAGACTATCGTCGTCTTCTTTACCACTGGAAAGAATACTTATGCCTTAAAATATAATCAATCATGTCAGAAACCCAATACCACAAACCCAGATCTAGTTTTTTGAACTGGATCTGGTAGATACTATCTCTACACATGGCAAAACCCTTGGAATTACACCAGTTGCTAGGAGTAGAAACAAGCAAAAGCGTTGCTTAAGTACTCCAGAGATTTTGTTCTTTTTATTTGACAGCCTGAAGGCAGACTATTGAGGGCTTGCACGATAGCTCCATCATACTGTCCGTTGTCCCCATTTTCCTGTTTCTTTTTTATCTTTTCTTAAACTATTGCACCAAACTTGCTCTCTGGTAGGTGGCTTTCAGAAAAACTTCATATTTAAATGTTTGTACCCTCATATTTGCTTTTGCATTCGCAGATGGAATTAAGTTTCTTCTTAAAAGTTTAAAACACATATTATCTTGTGGGTTAAACCACTGAAAAGAAAACATTAGATATCTGAGGTCGCCCTGGAAGAACCATAGTTCTAATTGCTTGATTCTGGGACAATTTTTCAGACAATTCAGATAAAAGGATGAAATAGCTACTACGCATACTCCCTGCAGATACAGGAAAGGACCCAGACCCTTGTCAAATCCGTGAAAGAACTTGCCTGGTAGTTTGTAGAGCTGGGTGCCTGGCATCTACTCAGTTCTGTGAGTTCTCATAGTGCAAGGATGCTGCACACAGCCAGGATTATGTTATATACAGAGATGTGTGTGTGTGTGTGTGTGTGTGTGTGTGTGACAGAGAGAGAGAAAGAGAGAGAGAAAGAGAGAAGTGTAAGGTCTGAATCACCAGTAATTATACCTCCCTGCTCCTGAGAGCAGGACGTGCAGGAGTGGGAATGGCAAGGGTAGGGTGGATGTCATAGACATACAATGAAAGAGAGCATAATGTAGATATTTTCCTCTAACTAAGCCACAAGATTTCTTCTTATCTGGCAAAGTAAATGCTAGGGAACATGTGAAAAACAGAAGTAAAAAGAGACAAAAAGAGAAAAGAAGAGAAGAAATCAAGGATGAAAACAGCAGAAATGACATCCTCTGCAAATGCAGAGAAGGAGGGAGAACCTTGAATCACCTATAATTACTCCTGCCTCTCCCAAGAGTTGTGGTTTTAAGTTTCACCTAGTAATGAGGCACCCTAGCAGTAAGGTTTCTGGGGACAACAGAAGGACAGGAAGGTGCTGCCTAGAAGAAAGAAGACCATGTGCTGAATACTACCTTACAAAACATGGGAGACAAGTTTTGATGCTGTTCTAGAAACCAAACCATTGCCAGTAAAACTTCCTGCTTGCTTCTCTCCCAGTGCAAATGGCTTGAGCTTTCACAGTCACTGAGATTTCCTAGGCAACAGGAGTGTAAACTTGAGAAAAGGCAGAACCAGAGTAGAGATTGACAGTGAGCTGAGCCAATCAGGCTGTGAGTCTGCAGCAGTGATCCCAGGCCGTCCAATTAATACTAAGAGAGTGGACCAGGGCCTCTGAGGAAGACAGGTAAGGGGGAGGAGGCTAAGGTGGCTTGGGAGGAACCAGTTTTCCTAGATGCAGGAGAGAGCGTCCATAGTTTCAGTTCCAAGCAACTGGTGGCAAAAGGTTAGCATTTAAGGTAAATCAATGTTTTTTTTAATCTATTCTATGATTTGATGTTTGTTTTTTTCTTCTTGGTGTGTCTTAGCCAAGAAAAGAAGACAGTAGATGTTACTCTCTAAAAAGAAAACCTAAAAGTCTTTGAGAGTTCTTGGACTAGCGAAGCCATCACTAGGCTGTCAGTGAAAAGAGGAAAGAGCTTGGTACTGGGAAAGATTTTTGTAATCTTTGCAAAAAAATGCTTAGATAAACATGTACAAAAATCAATTTCATTCAGTAAAGGGGAAGGAAGTAAACATTATTGAGCAGTCATTAAGTACTAGGTATTTGAGCTTAAAGGGTTTGGGTGAATTGCTCTTAACGATCCTGATGACCACTGATAAAACTGAGTTTCAGGGAGGTTCAGCAATTCCAAGACAGAGAGCAATAAAACATTTCATCTTTCATTCAGACCTTGCTTTGTCTGATACTTAAATTTATGCTATTTCTGCTATACACTGATAACTGAGAATCAGAATAAAAATTAGAATGCTTATTAAAGTGTACTTACATGGCTTGTTCAAAATTATATCAAATATTTGATTTGATTCATCAGAGACTTGAGTGGGTCCTTCTTTACGTTCTCAGTAAAGGACACCACCAATGACACAGGCAGCCATCTCTATTGCCTTCAGTCTGAGGAGTGTTTAGGCCATATTAAGTAGATGAAATTCTTTCCTTTTTTTTTTTTTTTTTAACTTATTTTTTTCTCAAACCCTACAACCACACAAATCTATTTTGTTACTGAAAGTTTTAAATATTGAGATTTGAATTTCAGGCATACATTTGTATTTATATTCTGATAGCAATTACCCAATAGTAATGGCGATGATAAATTCTGATAGCAATATAATAGCATCCTGCTAAGCCCTGATGATATGATGATAGGAAACACAAAGGATACAGCCCTTGCTTGTAAGGACCTTATAGTCTGTCTAGCAAGGCAAGTAATTCTGAAAATAAATTACATTGTCGTGCAATGTGAATGCTATTTGGACTTTACCACATGATTATGGAAGGATGGGTGGGACTTCTCTGGGCCAACAGGAAAAAGAAGGTGTACCTGAAAGTATGACTACATATACAAAGGCACAGAGATATGGAATGCTATGGTGTGTTTGGGGAAAGTGAGTGAGTAGAGATGCAGGATAGATTTTGAATGGATGGAGAATTACTAGAAATGGCTAGAGACATAGGAAGGGTCAATGCATGAATTCAATGCTAAGAACTTTCATTTTACCTGTATACAATGTGGAACCATCAAAAGGTCTTAAATTAGATCGTGAAGTTCATGTTTTCATTTTCTAAAGATTGCTCAGTCTTCTGAAAGACAAAGCAGAGAGGGCAAAGCTAGGGGCAGGAAACCAGCTAGGAGACAGCTGCAATGGTGGAAATGAGAGGTTACCATGTCCTGGGCTGAGTCAGTATCTGTGGCAATGGAGATGAGGGAATGGAAATGCAGGATGTGTCAAGGTAGTGAAACTCTATAGGACTTAGCTGCCAATTGGATGTAAAGGGAGAGGAAGAGTCTAGGATGATAGTCAGTTAGTGATCCGGGTAAATGGTATTGCTGTTTCCTGAAGCAAGGAGTAAGGAAGATAGGTAATGAATTTGGCTCTGGAACATTAAGCTGAAAGTGTCTGTAGGTCACCCAAGTGCACATGTTTTGTGAGAAATCTGGCTCCAGAGAGTGCCTACATTGGAATAAAAGATTGGTAGTCATCATTGTATCAGGGGATATGACTGAGATTGCCATAGGATAGTGAAATAGTGAGAAGAGAATAGATAACTGAAGCCTGAGAAACAGCACTTAAGAAGCAGGTGAAGACAAGGAAGAAACAAAAATAGGACAGATCCAAGAGGGAGGAGGAGAGACAGGAAATTAGAGTCATAGCCATTGAGAGAAACGGTGTTAAAAAGGAAGAATGACCAATAGTCAACTCTTGGGAGACGTGAACTAAGGGTTAATGACTGTTGAAGTTGGCAAACAGTTTAGCAATGACTTATTGGAGAGTCTTGATTTATTGGACTGACTTATTGGAGCAATGACTTATTGGAGAGTTGGAATGACAGAGTGAAGACCATACTGAAATGGACTGAAGTATGAATGGGACATGAGAAAGTGGAAAGTCTGGACATTCTTTCAAATAGTTTGACTTTGAGGGGTGATAGCTAGAGGGAGTCCAGGACTGAGGGACCACAGCGGATTCATGAACTAAAGGAAGGAGCTGGTGGAGAGGAGGAAAAGGGCATAACTGATGGCTGAGAGTCTTAGAGGGTTAGGCCTCTGTGTTGCAGGTAGAGAGGGCATCCTTAGATGGGAGGAAGTTCAGAACTCTCTTGGGGGAGGGAGGATGAAGTCAGGATGCCCTAATAGCTCTATATTTTTATAGATTTGGAGGAGGGTGATGTGAATTTGTTCATAACTTATGGCTCCATTTTTTTTCTGGGTCTTTCAAGGCAAGGTCTGGAGTGGCAAAGATTTGGATTAGCCTTTGAGGAGACTGGAATAAGAACCTGACCAACATCATATAAAAGTAGAGTTGTGTGTTGCAGAAGGCCTAGCTGTGGTTAAGGAATAAATGCAGTGACACCTGTCCCTGCTGGCATGTGGGTTTATTCAGCTGCAGTTCAGTCTGCCTTTAAGTACATGGAGCATGGGCAAATTGAACCAAGTTAGCTATTATTTTGAGAGGGTGGGAGATTGACAAATGAGAGTCAAGAAGGAAGGCACTGGTACCAGATGGTCAGAAAGATGCACAGAGTATGTAAAATGGATAAGAAAGGAAGTGAATCCATAAGGGAGAATGAGGTAGGTAATGTCTGGGGTGAAAATGTAGGGCCAAAAGACTGGAGGTCCCATAAGGTCAGAAGCAAGTTGGAATAATGGAACTGAACAGTGCAGAGAAAGTCAATCTTGAATTTTGAACTTTCAGTCTGGGCACAGTGGCTCACATCTGTAATCTCAGCATTTTGGAAGGCCAAGCGGGAGGATTGCTTGAGCTTAGGAATTCAAGACCAGCCTGGGCAACATAGCAAGATCCTGTCTCTACTAAAAAGAAGAAAAAATTAGTTGGGTGTTGTGGTGCGCCCCTGTAGTCCTAGCTACTTGGGAGACTTCGGTGGGAGGATCACTTGTGCCCAGGAGATTGAGGCTGCAGTGAGCTACGATGGCACCACTGTGCTCCAGCCTGGGCTACAGAGTGAGATCCTGTCTCAAAAAAAAAAAAAAAAAAAAAAAAAAAAAAAAGGATTTTGGACTTTCAGAGGAGACCAGATTTGGTTGGGAGAGGATGCTGAGACAACAAATAGATAGAGTTGAGTTGGTAGAAAGCAAGGAGCTCCAGGAACTTCATAGCTGCCTGTTGGATGGATTGTCTAGATGAGCTCTGGGTTTTCCCAGATTGATGACACTATTTGAAATGGAGAGGACATCTCTGAGGCAACATTCAGAGTCTCAGTGATTTATAAACTGACAGAACCGAAGAGGAATATAGGAAGTCTGTCCAGCTAGGCTGTGCTTCAAAGAAGGATGTGGGTATAGGTCATGACGTGGAGGTGACAGGCTACATCTTAAAATCTGTGAGGTTCCTTAATACTTAGAATTTGGGGTAAGAGGTGCTTTCATCTGAGAAGACTGCAAGAGGGGTAGGGTTCCTTAGGCAAAATCAGATACCATCCAGGATAAAGACATTGTACCAATCAGTGTCTTGGCAGGAAATTGATGGCACATTCAAAAGTAGTAACAGAAAAGAGTTTAATGAAGGACAATTCACAGAAGTGTGGGTAGGGCTAAGCAATATAGAGAAAGCATAATGAGACACCCAGCAATGCCACAGTCAGAAGGGGCAAGAAAGGTGTTATCCATAGCCTTAAAGGAGCAAAAGGAGGAGTGATTTTCATATCTCAATCAAAGCATTTCTGTAGGGAGGGCTGCCTTTGGTGAAGGATATGGTCACTGAAAAACTGTGGCTTGGCAGAGTGGAAGCTGGGGAAATAAATACTCCAACCTCTATCTCCTCCTCTCCTCTGATCTTCTGCTGATGCCTCCAAATGGTGGAACCTAGCTGGAAGCCAGCGAGCAAGGAAGTGTGGTTAACACAGTTTATGGAGGTCAACCTCTTGTAGCACAGATGTGGGTGGAGAATGGATCAGGAGAAGCACACGGACAAACAATATTCATCTCGTCAGTAACGACTGCTGTTCAGAGGTTGATCAAGATGAGGAGGCTTATAATTGAATAAGGAATAGAGGAAAATCTGGGTGTCTCTGGATGGAAGGTGCGCTTGGTGCTAAGAGGGCCAACCTCTGCTTGTAACTTGTGGAGATGGTGGTGAGGTGCTCCAGAGCAAGGAGTGGGAGTGTTTAGCTCGTGGAATAACACTTTTGGCTTCAACTGTTGCTTTAATCTCTTGGTGAATGAAATAAGAATTTTCCTTGTGGCCGGGCGCGGTGGCTCAAGCCTGTAATCCCAGCACTTTGGGAGGCCGAGACTGGCGGATCACGAGGTCAGGAGATCGAGACCATCCTGGCTAATATGGTGAAACCCCGTCTCTACTAAAAAATACAAAAAACTAGCCAGGCGAGGTGGCGGGCGCCTGTAGTCCCAGCTACTCGGGAGGCTGAGGCAGGAGAATGGTGTAAACCCAGGAAGCAGAGCTTGCAGTGAGCTGAGATCTGGCCACTGCACTCCAGCCTGGGTGACAAAGCGAGACTCCGTCTCAAAAAAAAAAAAGAAAAAAAAAAGAATTTTCCGTGTAAAATGTTGCTCTTTATTCTGATATCAGACAACTTTGTATAAAGAAAACATATCAAGGTTCAAAAGAGCAGTTTTCTGTATTTCAGAAGTCAACAGATTGGCATTTGGGAGAAGATGGCATTACAAGACACTGAAATGTAGAAATGGCCACGTGTTGGCTTCTCATAGGGTTCCTAATGCCCATGAACATTTGTTCAATTAATGATAT